CTCACAGCATTTACACAGAAGCAATAAACACAATGTTCCTGCAGACTAGCAAATATTAATTCAGCAGTAGAAATACAGGTACAGTGAAAAATTGATCCAGATACAGCACAATAGCTTCAACCAATGAGAAATTAAAGGGAACAGTTGAAAATTGTCATATTTCCCAGAACTATCCAATGAGTCACTCAAGTGGGAAGAAATCTGCAATAGTAGAGGTGGACTGAAGTGATGGATGAGCTGAAGAGCAAATAAGGAATTTGATGTATTTAGAAATTCGAACACTTTCTCAAGTAGTGGAAAGAAGCTTTATAAATATTGTGTGAACTAGAAATACACAACTCCAAGATTTCCTAGCTACTCTAAAAGTGATCATGTAGCAAGATCTATTAAATGGAACAGATTAAGTTCTAGAAAATACTTGGGACCAAATAATTTGTGTAGTAACTAGCCTAACAGAACCTAGGACAGAGAAATTAAATGACAGCAAATATTGATAATCAAAGAAGGACCAGATCCTCCTGAGAATAATCAATAAACATACAGATATACATATCCCCGTCAAGCAGCTTCCTGCCTGTTTCATCCCAAAGCTAGAATGCACCTGCTTCCCACTTAGCTAATGTAGATCACTTCTCAGATTTCTGCTGGACATACTAGTTCCCCATCCTTCTTCTCTCTGGATTGCCACTATTCTCTTTGCTAACCATGGTATCCTTTCCTCGGGGCTCAACAAAAGTTCCAGATTGAGAAGCAGAGACCCACAGGTTTTCTCTGGCTCACAAATGAGACACAGTGTAGCACAAAGAAAAGTGTGTGCATGCATCTATTAATATGGGTTGCTGAGTAAGGGAAAGGCAACCAAATGTAGGTTTAAGGAAATGAAGATTCTATTTTACCCTTGACTTTTTTTGCCCGTCTGATTGCCTGAAACAGGATATCTCGTTCTGTTACTACCAGACCACGTCAAAGTAAACATATATTTCTATTGAAGAATATGGGTTGCGGAGGCAGGGGAGGGCGGGGAAGAGAAGAATGACACAAGTTCTTACTGGATGATGCCATCCTGACCCCTGCTGGTGGGAAAATGTTGCTGCATTGTAATTCTAAATGGGGCAGATGTATTGTAGGATTTCTTGACTGTGGTTAAGAGAAAAATATCCTTCCTTCCTGTCTTCGATCAAGTACCAGAAATGTCATTCCACTACCTAGTGCTTCAGATATTAGAATGATTTACATATTCTTTCATCATTTTTAGACTCTGGTCTTCTTCTTTCTCCTTTCCCTCCCAGCTTTAAATTTGCATGACCTACCGACATCTTAATTTGGGGAGATATTCTCAACGAATGACTTATTGAAAGTTAAACTAGAGGGAATATGTTGCCAGAGCAAAGGCAGATCCCTACATATCCCTGTATGTTTTATAGGATACTTGGAAAAAAGATCCTTAAAGATGAGATAGCTGACAATCTTGTGCAAGTGAAAAAATTTTAGACTACATAAAACATCCCGAAGGACCGAAAGCTCCAAGCCATGGAAATGCAAATGCTCCATTGAATATCAGGCATCTTCCTTCTTGACCACATCACAAATGACACCATTCGACAACATTTTGGCGTGGCACCAATTTTCGAGAAGATGAGAGAAGGCCAGCTCTGCTGGTATGGACATGACCTGAGAGCAGCACTTTCCACTGTTGCCAAGACCACCTACCAACTAGAAGTTAGTGGCTGGTGACCTTGCGAGCGCTCAAAACAGAGATGGCAAGATGCCATCAACAAAGATTTGCAAGCCACAGGACTGAGCCCTGGAGTTCACCATGCAAAGTGGCATTCAATGATCCAAAAAGTAGACCCTGCACTTGTGACAATACGCTAGGAAGAAGATAAAAAGTTCCAAAGGTGCATTTTTTTTTCAGAAAGTCAACGGGATTTTTTTTTTTTTAATGTTTTGCTTCTTAGATGAGAAGTGAAACTTTTTTAAAGAAAAAGAAAAAACCAGGAAAGTCCAGTTGCCTTTTGGAAAAAAAGCTTTGGGACAACCTTTGGACAACCATGATCTGGCTGATTGAGAATCTCCATAGACATTGTGTAAAAAAAAAAAAACACCCGGTTCCAAGCTGGACACCGCAAGATTGGTTCTTATGGAGCCATTCCTTCAATCTGGTCTCTGGCGTTCTTTGTACTGTATTGGTATCAAGGGAAATCAGTACTCTTGTTTCTCTATATGCATTTGTTTTAAACAGGTTGGTTGCTTCTTGCATTGGTCAACCAAGGAAGTGTAAAGCCCTGAAACTCACCAACCCATGCCAAGCTTAACACAAGCATTTAAAAATGTAATTAAAGGATTCTGTTCCCATATCTGTGTGGCGGGGCGTTCCCTTTCCAGTGGCTGCTGTTCCTAGGGAAGCACCAGCTTTTTTGAGTAGTTCTACAGCTAAACTCCTTTCTCAAACTCAAGCTGTTTCAGATCCACTGACTGCAGCTCATCTTGCATGAAGCCTGATGATGGCTGGATGCCAGCCAAGACATGCAACCACCCCGCCTCTTTGCTGCCACTAGTGGCTAATAGGACAAATAATCAAGGCTTGAAAAAAAAGTTCAATCTATTGATGACGTGATGGAAAAAAAGGAAAAAAAATGCAATGCATGGAGTTATCAAAGGCTTACTAATTGGAGAATAATGGGAGTAGAGTGGAAATTTCAGCAGAGACAATCACCAATTACATCTTAGAATTGTGAGCATTAAAGCTATATGGGCCCCAAGGCCCACAGATCTATTTGAGGTACAAGGTAAGGGAGTAATGTAGGTGTAGCAAGATTGGACTGCATGATTTTTTCACAAGCTCTGGAATGAGAGAGAATGGAAATACAGCAAAGCAGTTTTGTGGATGTGGCCCACGTGTTGTTTGAGTGAGCAAATTTCACTTGCCCTATATATGAATTCAGTGCTAGTCAAAATAGCACACTCGCACTAAGGAACTACCTTAAGTTCCTTGATATAAACAATGTTGTAAGCCACCGAGAGTCACCATGTGTGAGTTGGGCAGCCATATAAATTTAATTTTAAAAAAAGTTGAATTAAAAGCAATACTGCAATGATTAACTTTAGCCACATGTGTTTCCCCGAAAATAAGACTGGGTCTTAATTTTTGTGCCCCCCCCCCAAATAAGCACTAGGGTTTATTTTTCCCCAGTTTCTTATTTTTTTTCCATGTACGGGAGGCCGACTTCTTCTGCTTGCTCGTGGTGGAGCGAGAAGCCACACAATGCACCAGTGCTGCCACTACAAAGCAGAGGAAGGTGGAGCTGACCCATGCACCCAGCAACAGCTTACCTCAGGACCCCTGAAGCCAGGCCACCCATGCCACGACACCTGCCTCACCTCATGGCAGCGGCTCTGGCAACCCTGTCCCGCAGATCCTGTGTGGGCCCCAGCTCACTTTTTCTGCTTGCTCATGACCACAGGAGGCTGAGTGATGCACCAATGCCACGGCCACAAGGCAAAGTGGGGGGTGGGGGCTTAGACCTGCCCAATGCGCCTTGTACCGGCTTACTTGAGGGCCCCTGCAGCCAAGCCATCCATTCCCCAACACCTGCCTCACCTTGCGGCTGCAGCATCAACACACCACTCATCTTCCTGCTCCGTTGTGGCAATGAGCAAGCAGATGTGGGCCGGTGGCCATGTGGGCTCCTGCTGTATTCACACATCGCAAGCCAAAATATGATTTTACAACAGATGTATTCAGATTTGGGAAGGATGCTTTAAAATGTTTTGAATAAATAGCATAATGGGCTAAAATGTTTGTGTTTATACCTATTCCACAATTTTAAAAATCAAGTCATAATGAGAATTTTTGTTAGAAAAGTCTTGAGCAACTCCAACATAATTGTACTCAACTTCTTTTTGTCCTGGTGAAATAATGAAGGACAAAAGTATATATATATACTAAAGTATATATAAAGTATATATAAGGAAACTAAAGTATACTTTATATATACTTATATAAAGTATATAATCAGGAAGCTACTTCATTGCTACGTTTGTGTCATTCACCTTATTTTAAACTGTATATCACATATTGCCTTTTTGCTCCTACATAGATATAACATAGATGATTAAAGAGAAATTATATAACTGTGGCTGGAACAGAGAAGCAACTTTACTCATCAGAATATAGAGGATAAATAAATTAAGGAGACACCTCTACAACCAAATGATTAAAAAAAATAATACTTGGAGCTCCCTAGATTATGCTGCTAAAATTTGCCAACAATTCAAATTACTTACATGTTACAAACAAATTACTGTCAATTTCAGAACAATCCAAAACTAAACACCCTGCATTCTTCCTCATTGCTGTTACTGCTATTTTATACAGACCTTAAAATAGACGGTCTTGAGTTTTCTCGGCAACAATACCAACAATGGTTTGCCACTGTATCTTTCTGGAATATTTTTCTAACTTCTCAAACTTGCTTATTACCCAACTATTTCCATATGGTTTACTTACTAAAGATTAACTAGGTTGATTTAAATTCTTATGATCAACCGAGGAAATGATCTGTTTTGCTCTTTAAAATATTACATACCTGATTTAAAATATTTTGTCAATTTTCTCATAAGCAAAACTTATGATCCATTAAGTTTATTTTCCTCATTTCCAACCAGTGATCCGAAGGATCAACTCTGAAAAGAAGAGCCCAGCCATCATAACGTTTCTGACAATAAAGTTCATCTGAACAAAACTGTAACTTTAGTAAATAATGCCAGTGAGAAAATATGTGTATGGCCAATTTGTTTTTCTCTGACTTGCCTATTTTTTTTTCCACCTGAGACAGTTTAGAGCTAATAGGTTAAATCAAGTTTCACACTGCTTCCTATATCAAATCATCTTAAGACAGTTTAAACTAAAAATGCACAATAACATATTGCATCAGAAATATAGCTGCATATTTTCACTTCTCACCAACCAGTGGAATAGCAGCATTATTAATACATACCAAAAGCCTTTCGGGGTTCAGTCAGCTTCAGAGTGAAAGTGCGACCTTTGGGCAAATCCTTGAGCATTTTTGCAACCTCATAATGCCGGCAGCCAATGAGACTTTGACCATTGATGGACTCAATCAGATCTCCGACATTAATAATTTGGATTCGGTCAATAACACTCCCTTCCTTGATTCTCTGCCAAAAGAAGTGAACAATCACTATGCAAACACAAGCCAAATAGATAATTTGAAAAATTTGGAAAGCAATGCAACCAAAAAATAACAAACTAACTAAATGCAAGTAGGATTGCCAACAATCCTGGTTCCCCAAACAAGAGACATACTCCTGGCTGAGTGACAAACAGAGCAGTTCACTTAAGCAGAACTACTGTAATGGCAGGGATACTCTTCTCTTGAATACCTCTCTTCCTCTGGGTTATTTTCTGGTAAATACTTTGCCAAGAGCCTAGCTATGGAGCCTTTTGCTTTGTAGCCAATCTGGCATTTCTTTGCATTGCACAGAGGCTGCTCTATATCAGGTCTTCAAGTTGCTAAATATATTTGGGCAGAAAGAAATTAAGCTCAATAGTAAAAGTGTTAACCTTGCAGTCCAACAACTCTCTGTTTTACCTTAGGATGTATGAGGATCTACAGTGATGGTTTATGCATTACTCTAATCCAGGGCTGGACCTGCAACTTCTACTTGAGAAACATGATTCATAATTACACTTATAACTGACTCATAGGGGAGATGAGCAGTGGCCCGACCAGTCTGCTTTACTCATTTCTTCTTAAAAAAAAAACCCAGAATAATTCACACCTTGAAAGAAGGTTGTGCTACTAATATTATGCCCTTAGACACAGTCTTGGGGAAAAAACCAGATCTGTTGAATGAGATGAACGTATATTAATCCCAGGAATGCATGGCAGCAGATCTGCTAAAGCTATGTTTTTCTTGCTATCCGGTAAAACAGGATAGTATCATTCCTCTACAAACTAGAAGTGAATGAGAAGGCTGTCCTTATTCTGTTTATATATTTACTGCATGTATCAGTACATCATAATATATTTTTGTGGATTAAGCATATGAAGTCAATGAAAATAATTCCTGTCATTCGAAACTCATCAGAAAGTAGAATTACCTGAAAAGAAGTAGAAAAAGGAGAGAAAGACTAAAACCAGACAAAATAGAGCTTCACTGCAGCTGATGCATAACAAATAGGAAATATTAATTTAAAGGGATTATTTGTCAGAGCTGGTTTTGGTAACAGTCAAATCTAGAAATACTTATTTTAAGAAGTAAAACTACAAAAACTGATACTGAATAGAGCACAGAATTACAATACAGAGTAACTTTCTGCAGGATCAAAATACTGAAAAATACACTTCAAAGTGCAGCAATTCTTTACGGATTTCATAGGAGGAACCACAATAACTTTGACTGTGAAGACCTTCCTTTTCTGTCCGAAGATAGCAAGTTGGTTTCCTTGCTACTCACTTCTTATTACTGTATTAAAGATTATGTTAAACTGAGGAAAATTCATAGCTCTGTTTAATATTAATCACAGCCCATAATTTATTTTTTAGCATAAACTAGAATAGCTAAGGTCTGTGTCCAACCTAACATGAAATCCATTGTTAAAGTCCTATCTAGGATATAATGGGGGTTGACCTCCCTGTATTTTTGTATGGCAAGAAGGAAATTATGTTCAGAATGTGCATTATAAAATTGTGCTCTTGCGTGTGCCCCCTCTCCTTCCCCCACAAAAGAAAAGAAAATCAGCAAGGCTCCAAACAGAATTAAGGTTTTAGCAAGCAAACTTCCTTGAAGGCATGTCATAGCCCTATGACAGCTATTCAGGAAATGGTGGGGGATCTTTGTTCTAGCAAAAGCTGCCGAGTCTCAAAGGCCATCTGCCAGGAACTTCATGCTGATGGTGGGCAAGATCAGAATCCAAAATGGATATGGAGTCATCCCTTTCCTTTCTTTTATTTGTAGTGGAACACCCGCCTCCCTCCCATGGTGGTAGAAAACTATTGTTCCTGCAAAATGTTTACACTGAGCTATTTTCACAGGGTTAATGCCACCTAGTTCCAATATATGAACATGTATGCAGAATCTGACAATCACACAAAATCACAGGATCTTTTTTCCTCTGAGAATGGAAAAAGATACATTTATTCTTCATAGTTGTTTTGATTTTCATAATAAAAATGTAATAAGAGAAGGGCAAAAAGAATTAATGGGGTCTGGCTTTGCATCCCACTGGGCCATTCATCTTAATTATCACAACCCTATAAGTAACTTTTATTGGCTGAGCATCCTGTGAGCCTGCATAACAGATATATCTACAGTTATCTTCTGGCATCTATCAAAATTATAGATAATCCCTTCTTTTTAAAAAAAAGATACTTGTTGCTCTCACAGTTATGCTCATAAGGTCAAATATACAACTCAGTTTTTTATGCCAAGCAAACCATGTTTTGGAAATCTAATCTTCAGTCTATTTTCTCCATAAATAGAACAAAAATCCATCTCACTTTATAAATCTATTACACCATACAAAGTGTAATCCCCATTATATTCTATGTTTAATATTTTTCCCCTTAAACTAAACAAACCCACACTTTTCAACCCAGTATTTCACAAGTTGATAGCATTCAGGAATGGCCATTTGGAATTCTGGAATGAAGAACACAAATATCCCAAAGGCCACAAGATTGAAGAAGCTGCTTTAAACTTTTAAAATCCACTTATCTCTGTTTAACATTGTAAAAAAAAATAGGAGCTGATAATTTCACATGCCTTCAGCAAATACATCATCTATGAAAGGCCTTGTTATGGAATCACATCATTTTTGACTCACTTTGGGGGGGATTTTTCTCAGAAAGATGAACAAGAAGGGGAAACAAAGATAAGATTGGATTTCTAGGTGCCACCAAAATATAAACATTTGAAGACCTTTGTTTTTCAGAACTGATAGTTTTTGGAGGACAGAGCAAAAAAAAAACCAAAACAAACCCAGAATCCTACCACCCCAAAGAGCAAAGCAATAATACATCAGGAGACTATATGTGACCATTCAAAGATACCTTGATGAAAGCATAGCCAGCACCATTGTCTGTAATAGTCAGGCCCAGGGCCTCCTCAGATTTGAATACTTCCACTTCTTTCCTCTGGCCCTTTGTGTGGGCAAAGATAAAGTCTTCCAGGCCAATCTGACCACCCAATAATTTGTCCATGTCCACTTTGTGGGTATTTAAAGTGCAGAACATCACCTAGAAGGATATTAAGGAAGTACAATAAGAATCTGGTATCGTTTGAGACAATGAGGGTACAGGAGATAGCTGTTCCCTCAATCCCAGCAATAAAGGGCTAGGAGACCTTTGATCACCAACAATCATCTAGATTCCAAAATGTGTATCTAGGTATAAGCAGATATATTAACACCTCAGTTTACCCAAAATATTTCCCCACACATCTGGTCTTATATAAAATCTACCACACATGCAATGAGCCTACAGTAACCAGGTAATATAAAAGATGTGCTTACCTCAGTTGAGGCTATATTAAAGGCCTCTGCAATTTTGTTGTATAGTTCCTTGACATTAGTAAAGCCTTCGATCCGACCAGTGGGACTTCCATGGGCTAGCTGAGTGTGGAACACAAGTCGAGGACGGAGGCTGGCCGGTGGAGGGGGGAGTCCAGGCTGAAGTGCTGCCATGCCACCCACCCCCATCCCACCCAGGCTACTACGGATGGGCTCAGCTTCCTCATTTTCCACCAAAGGGGGGGCTTTCTTCCGGCGACCTAGTCCAAGTGGCATGAGGGAAATGCGTCCAGCCGCTAGCAAGAACAAGCTACCAAGATATGGACCTAAATAAGGTATAGATAAGATTGATTATAGTCAGTATTTTTTTTTTAAAGTTATCACTTTAGTATATTAAAATTAAATAAATTTAAATTTATTTATTTAAAGGCTTTTAAACCTTTAAAATTTAATATGTAAAGCCATATATCTCACATACATGACTGGATGGCTTACAGCTATTATAATTATAACCAAAAACAATAAAAATACAAAAAAAAAATACAGCCATGGTAAAACCATTAAAATCAGTACAATACGCAGCTAAGGTACAAAACATTCCATAGTAGATGACTAGGCTGAGCCTGAGGGAGGGATACAATGTGCCATCAGTCTTGTCCCTTTGTGCCCA